AAAAAAAAAAAAACTGGTCCGACCGGTTCGACCGACTGATTTGTCTAAAAGGGTGACACATCAGCTCTGCCACATGTCGCGCTTTAGCTCTGCCAAATGTCACGTATAAAAGGTTAAGTGAAATTGTAACAAAAATGACTCTAGCTTGGTTGGTAAGGAACTCATCTAATTGACTAAGAGATCTTGGGTTCAAATCTCATGGTGGTATGTTTTTGGAAAAAAACTTCAAAAAAAAAAACAACTGGTCCGACCGGTTCGACCGACTGATTTGTCTAAAAGGGTGACACATCAGCTCTGCCACATGTCGCGCTTTAGCTCTGCCAAATGTCACGTTCTTGTAGTTCGGAGTCTCCTTTATATATATAATAAAGGATTCATTACGAATGTCTCATTTACACTTGAAGTGTAATATCTCAGATGTCCTAAACTTGAGGCAATTGTGGAATTGAGTGCCAAGACTTTATCAAAATTAAAATCATTTTTATCTTACTTCCTGTTTTGACTTTAGTAGTCAACTTTTTTTTTTAAACTTTGATCACAAATTATGGAAAAAATATATTGAATTCTAATATAAATTTAATATTAATATATTCATTTTGATATTTAGATTTTAGATTTCATATTTTCATAATGTATGAATATATATAAATAAAGATATTAGTGGTTAAAATATTGCATTAGAGGCCGTGAAAAGTCAAACAAGAAGAAAAATATGGGATAAAGGGAGTAAAATTATACGGAGTATAATTGAAAGTGGTGCAAAGGAAAAAACTAATAATAATCCCAATTTGTTTTCAAATGTAAGAAAGTGAAATTATTTTTTGAGACAAGCAAAAAACACTACTCGGGGTACATAAAACATTATGAGACCTAGATACGAGTAAAAAAATTATGAATATACCAAAATAGAATTCATAAGTCTTTTAAGATCAAAATAGAAGTTTACACTGCTATTATTATACTGTATAACTCACCACATTGTAACTGTCACACTATCACCGCCACACTACCATTCATTGCCGCCGGCCACCAGAGTGCCGTTACGGATCGCTGACGGTTGACTGATTATACTAACATATTTCACTGTCATCACTTTTTCATCACAGTGTCACCGGAAGTTTCACATGACACTGCTATCATACTCCTATTTTGGTTTGTAAAAGACATTGGACTCCTATTTAATATTTTCATATTCTTTACTCTTTTTCAGGGATATTTTTTAAACATTATTACAAGATAAAGGGGTTAATAATTTAAAAACAATACTCCCTCTGTCACAAAACGTAAGCAACGTTTCAAACAATTTACAAAATATCATCTCTTTTAAAATTATTTTATTTACGAATTGGTAAAAAAATTAAAAATTACACTATTCAAAAATAAAGTAAAAATTTAAAAAAATTAAATGCGACAATAACATTTTATTTTATAAAATAATCAATCAAAATAAGTAACAAATAAAAGTTGACAAAAATCAAAATAATAAGCGTTGGTTAGTGGAATAGTGGTTATAGGACTGATGTAGTAACTGAAAAGTTAGTGGTAAAAGATCGTGGTTAGTGGTATACAGGACTGATATTTTAAGCAAATTTACCGAATCACGGTTCTGATCGGACTTTCCACTCTCTATCTCTATCAAATTTCGTTCCCCAATTTCGATTTGGATCGAAGACGACGAAGAAGAAGAAAGATGTCGGACTATTTGCCTCAGGAATCCAGATCCCTAACCAAGAAGATGAATGCCTATTTGCCTCAGGAATCCAGATCCCTAACCAAGAAGATGAATGCCTATTTGCCTCCTGAAGTCATCACGCTCATCCTCCTGAGCCTCCCGGTGGAATCGGCGGTGAAATGCACTGCCGTCTGCAAATCCTGGTACGCTCTCATCAAAGATCCCTCTTTCATTTCCACTCATCTGCAACGGGCTGCGTCTCTCCAGGACGGCCTTCTCCTCCTCAAATTCATTGAGGACAGTGAGGCTGAGAGATATGTTTATCATTTGTATCGCGACAATGATGCCTTTGAAGAGTATAAGCAGCTCTTCTTACCCTTCAAGCTATCAAGGGAACCTTCCATTGTTGGTTCATGTAATGGCCTGATTTGCCTGGCACGTGTTGAGGAAGATGCTTGGAATATAGTTTTGTGGAATCCTTCCATTCACAAACATTTCTTTTTGCCCGAGCCTGATTTGCCCGCGGCCTGCGAGGTCTATTTTTTTCATACAATAGGTTTCGGGTTTGATTCTGTATCAAATGACTACAAAGTGCTTCTAATTCTGTCTGATGGTGAAACCGAAGATTTCAATGATGTCTGGTTATTTTCCTTGAATCGGCGTTCTTGGAAGAGGCTTACTGAAGTATCTCCCATTAATGGTGCTTCTTCCATTTATATTTATCATGAAAATGGGAATAAGGTTTTTGTGAATGGTGTTTTGCATTATGGCATGTTTTCACGTATGATTTTTGCTTTTGATATAAGCACTGAAAAATTCTTTGTGATCAATGTTCCTGAAACTTTAGCTCAGTTTGAAAATCGAATGCGCGTGATTAAATATGAAGAATCCATTGCACTGGTTGCTTGGGGAAACTCACCTGGCCACAAAGAGTTGTGGGTCATGAAGGAGTACGGTGTAGATAGTTCATGGACGAAGGTGTTACATTTAGTTGACGAAAATGAAGAGTTAAATCTTGGGAAAGTGGTTCAAGTATTTGATGTTAGGAAGGAAGGGAAACTTTTTTTTAGTGTGAGTAGGGAATCTAGGGATCATGAGCACAATTGTGAGCTAGCTGTGCTGGATTTGAACTGCCACCAACGAGAACATCAGATGCAGCAGCTTAAGCGTCTTGGTGGAACGAACTGCTATCATTATTTATTTTTTGGTAGCTACGTGGAGAGCCTGGTGTTACTTGACAAAGGGGAAGAACATGCTGTGGTGGGGGCAGTCTGAGTGAATGAAAGTGAATTAAGATTAACTAGTAAGTGCACCATATCTTTTTTTAATAATACATGTCCTCTGAAATTGCATAATTGGAATGTGCTTGATATATACTGCAAGTGTTTTTGTTTTGTGCATGATAATGTGCTTCTTGTTTTGTTTGATGGCTACGCTTAATGTTCTATAGCTGCTGTATTTTTCATTGACCGTCTTACACTCCTACTTACTCTTGAGATTAAGAGTAAGACTCTCAAGTCTCAAGCTGGTTTTGTTTGAATTTTCAGTATGATTCGTTTAATGCTGGGACAGAAGCCAAATTTTTGTTTGTTATATTCTTTGATGCATTCTTATATACTGTACACTTGCATTGTGTTTTTATGCTGCTTTGTTACGTATATGAAACAGGTATACGAGTCACAATTGAGGTTGGCTTAGAGTTTTTGTAGTCTTGACTACTTGATTTTACAAGGAACAATATGTCTTGTGATGATGGTGATGGTGAGAATGGTGATGGTGATGATGTACTCTTTATGACCCCCCCCCCACCCTACGGTAAACGCGTGTAATATGTTTATGGTGATGATGAATTGATGATGTACCACTCTTCATAGGTCATTCCCCCCTTGCAGTAAAAGTTGATGATACTAGCCTAGTTCCGTGGTTTGATTCCCATCTCTGCCTATTTTCTTTAGAATGCATACTTGCTTTGAATGTATTCGTTTTTGAGCTGAGACTCTGGGGGACCCTACGAGAAACTGGCTCTCCCCCTGATCACTTCGGTAGAGGTAAGGTTTGCGTGCACCTCACGTACCCTCTACCACACACTGTGTAAAAGTTGATGGTAGAAACTGCCTCTCCTCCTCGATCACTTGGGTAGAGGTAAGGTTTGCTTCCGCCTCACGTACCCCCCACCCCCACTCCATATTGGTTACGCTGTCCCTGAAATTGTAAATTTCTTTCTCAAATACTTTTTTCGTCTCAAAAAGCTCTTTACCCCCTTTTTTTTTGTCAAATTCTACAATTGTAATGACGAATCATGGAAAAAACATACGTTTATTAAAATTATATGTGAAAACCAATTCAAATATCTTTGGCCAAAATTAATGTCTACTGTTATAATTTTAACTTTTGGAACCAAGCAGGAATACTTTTTCATTTGGTGCACTGTCTCGGAATTAAATCTAAAAATTGTGTGGTGCTTGAATTTTTAACCTTATCCGAATGGCACTATTGAATTGGCGCAAAAATTACTCGCGGGTAAAGCGAGTTTTGTCGAAATAACTTTCAGGTCCTTTTATTTTCAAAAAGACAACTGAGATCCTTATATTTTGTTGTAATGACTGGGAGGGGACATTTTACCCAATACATCATCCGTAAGTGTTAATAAATATATTTTTTTCCTATTTTTCCAATACCGTTGTTTCCTATTTTGCCATTATCTTGTTTTTTCTTTTTTAAAATTTTTTTATTTCATTTGTTTTAATATAATACAAATAATTTTGAATTTTTATACGATTTTATAGAAAAATTCTAAAATAACACTTTAAAAAATAATAACAAAATAAAAGAAAAACAAAGAAATAAAAAAGAAGCGACCTAAGATTTATTACTTTAAAAAATTTAGAAAAAAATAAGAAAAAAATATATTTATTAACGTTTATATATGAAATATTGGATTAAATAACCCATTCCAGTCATTACAATAAAATGTAAGGACCTCTGTTATTTTTTTGAAAATAGAGGGACCTAAGAGTTATTTCAACAAAACTCGCGTCACCCGTTGAATAATTTTCTACAACTTGATGTGGCCTGTCACATAACACAGCCCTCTTGTACTGCTATTTTTGTTTTGTTTTTTTGTGTAATTGATGTCTGAGTATTTGCCCCCAGAAATCATCACGCAGATCCTCAGCAGACTCCCGGTGAAATCGGCGGTGAAATGCACCGCCGTCTGCAAGGCCTGGTACGCTCTCATCAAACATCCCTCTTTCGTTTCCACTCATCTGCAACAGGCGGCCGCTCTTCAGGACGACGACCTTCTCCTTGTCTGTATCCGTTACGACGATTTGAGATATGTTTATCATTTGCATCGCGGCAATGACGCCTTTGGAGAGTATAAGCGGGTCACTCTGCCTCCCAACCCATTTGAGGATTACAGGATTGTTGGCACATGTAATGGGTTGATTTGTCTCACAGATTATGACAGAACTTCTCGGTATACAACCTTGTGGAATCCTTCCATTCGCAAACATTTCGTTTTGCCTGATTTTCCCTTGGCCTACGGTTTCCCTTTATATCATATGATAGGTCTAGGGTTTGATTCGGTGTCAGATGACTACAAGTTGCTTTTAATTGTGCCTAGTGGCGATACCAGAGATTTGTATGATGTTTGGTTATTTTCGTTGAATAAGTGTTCTTGGACGAGGCTTACTCAAATTTCTCCCTCTGATTGGTTTTGTGGTGCTGGGAAGGTGGTCTTTGTGAAAGGTGCTTTGCATTTTCGCATGCATCCACATATGATTTTGGCTCTTGATTTGAGCACGGAGAAGTTCTTTGAGATCAATATTCCTCATGGTTTAGTTCATTTAGTATGTCAGACAACGGACTTGGTTAAATATGAAGAATCCATCGCACTGGTTATTAGGGGCTCACGCTACGATGAAATTCGGTTGTGGGTCATGAAGGAGTACGGTGTAGACAATTCGTGGGCCAAGGTGTTAGATTCCTTCGACAAAAATGGAGAGCCAGTGTCTGATAAACAATTGTCTGCTGTATTTGTGGTCAGGAAGAAAGGGAAAGCTGTTTTGGAGGTGAGCGTGGATGATGGGCGTGAATGGGGTGATGGCGAGGTAGCTATGCTGGATTTGAATGGCCACCTAGAGGAACATCAGAAGCAGCATCAGCATCAGCTTAAGTATCTTGGTGGACCGAAGAACGTTCTATTTTACCTCGTTGATAACTATGTGGAGAGCCTGGTCTTACTTGACAAAGGGGAAGAAGATGTTGTGGTGGCCGGGAGCAGTCTAAATGAATGAAAGTGAAGCCATATATATTCACTAGTAAGTGAACCCATCTCTTTTGCTTGGATTGGCATTTAGTACTAGCTAGGAGTGTTTCTGTTTTCTCTTACTTGTGAACTGTGAAGGATAATGTGCTCTTATTTGAAGGCTACTGTTAATGTTCTATGGCAGATGTACGTATTTCCCATTGATTGTCTTGCATACTACTTACTCTTGGGATTAAGACTAACACGTTGGTTTTGATTGAACTTCTAGCTAGTTCAATGTTTTTAGTGCCCAAAAGCTAGGTCTTTGTTTGTTTGTTAAATCATTCGATGCATTTTATACCATATACTGGCATTGTGTTTTCGACTTCAAACATTGACAATTAAAAGGGGCCGATTCTCGTGACATTGGAGATCAATGTCACGGGATGACCCGGTGTCCCATTCGTAAAATTGACGGTTCTTATTCTCCCTAACCCCGGTAAACACCCCACCCCGTTCCGACCCAAACACCCCCAACCCCCCTCAATTGCACCCTTTAGTTAATTTTAACTTTGGAGTCGAATTTTGACTCTAAAGGCAAAATTAACTTGTGGGTGCAATTGAAGGGGTGTGTGTTCGAGTCGAGGCGGGGTGGGGAGAGGGTTTAACCGGGGGATTAGGGGATAAGAATCGTCAATTTTACGAACAGGGCACTCGAGCACCCCGGGTCATCCAATGACATTGATTCCCAATGTCATGGGAACCAAGGGGTATTTAAAATTATTTGTGAAAACCAATTCATCAACGTTGTCATTCATAGTTTCACTTTTGAAAGAGTTGTTATGCCCTTAGATTTGATAGCACAAATAACATTTATACACAAATGGTGCAATTGTCTATATTCACTAACGATTTAGTGTACTATGCACGTCAAATTCAACATTACTTGTTGACATAAAACATTAATGCTTATTTTACATGCCAATCCACAAATTATCTTACACAAAAGTCAGGGGCTTTTTGTAGCCGTTACTGGTTCTGTCCAGTGTGTGGGACGTAGTTTCTAAGACTTTATCGTCGGCCTCCTGCCCTAACAGGGAACACTGCTATCTTGGTCATTGTGGATTGTTTTACCAAGTATACCCACTTTGGAACATTATGGTTTTCCTACCGCTATTCTATCCAATAGTGATCCCATTTTCCTTGACACAATTTTATAGGATGGAATGATAACATTACTTCGAAAGTTTATTTCGTTGATTTTCTTGAACTGACAGATGGAAAACCTAGTTCAATTATGATTTGGACTTCTCTATAGTCTGTAAATAAAGTTGTTCCACCGTCAAATTAATTATCAAGAAATGAAAATCTAAATGGCACCACTATTACGAAGGGCTGTTTGGATGGAACAAATCTCAGACTAATTACGATAATTTTTAAAGACTGGTCAAGTATTCATAAACAAATCTCAGTTTAATTTTCTCCGGTATTTTTCTATAAATGCTCTCTTGAGGAGAACAATAGTTGAAGATTTTTCCCTAAAAAAGAATTAAAAATTATCCCTTAAATTAAACTCTACACCCGCAAAAAAATAACCCAATAGTTTTAATGATTTCAGATAATTATAGATGTGATTTGGTTTTCCAAAGAAAATGATTTGGTTATGTTAAAAGAATTTAAATACATTTGAAAAGATTATTTTAAATGAATATCAGTTAGGCTCTGTTTGGTACACAAAATTCAAAAACTTGAAATTGGGGACAACAATTTCAATTTTACTCTTTAGAGCACTGGTACTACCCATCACGCCGACCGGCGTGATAGCGGCGTTTAACGCCGGGGAGCGTTAAACACCGCCCCCCCCCCCTCGGCGTGAAACGGGCGTGAGACGTCCGTCGTCATTACTTTGACGCAGCGTGATGGCTTTTTTTCAGCGGCTCCCCCCCCTTCCCAACGGCTATATAGCCGTTACCCCCCCCCCCTAAAATAAAAAAAAATTCTAAATTTAAAAAAAAAACTTATAAAATCCCTCTTTCTCATACATTTTTCTCACACATGTCTCACACATCTCTCTTTATTACTTTATATTCTCTCTAAAATATTTATTATTTATTATAAATATTTATAAAATATAATTTAAAAATGGGTTCATCTTCCGACGATGAAAGAAGAGCTTTATTTTTTCGTTGTTTCGCGACGAATTGTATTCAATGGTAGGAAGATGGCCAAGAAGAAGCCGAATCCTCCCGACGACAGACCCGACACCAACGTCTAAACCAGGATCGAGCAGCCGCCCACGCTTCACTTCTAAACGACTACTTTAATAATCCGTGTGTTTATACACCGGAAGATTTTAGTAATCGTATTCGGATGAGTCGTCCTCTCTTCTTACGCATACTCGCCGATGTTGAACGCGAGGTTCCTTGGTTCACCTAACGGTTTGATGCGAGAGGGCGACGCGGGTTTAGTAGCGTCTAGAAGTGCACTGCCGCGCTCCGTCAGTTGGCGTACGAGACAGCATCCGATATGTTCGACAAATACTTGAAGATGTCGGCTCGGAGCATCAGGTCCTGTGTTTATAAATTTTCAAAAGCTATTATTCAAATTTATCATAAAAGATATTTACGCAAGCCTACAGCGAGCGACATCCAGCAGTTGCAGGCAAGGCATGCCGCTAAACATGGCTTTGTCGGCATGCTTGGGAGTATTGATTGCACGCATTGGGAATGGAAAAATTGTCCCACTGCGTGGCACGGTAAATTCTCCCGGGGAGATCATCCCAAGCCTACCATCATGCTCGAAGCTGTTGCTTCGAATGACTTGTGGATTTGGCATGCTTTTTTCGGTGTCGCGGGCTCGAACAACGACATCAACGTTCTCGATCAATCACCTGTTTTTGACGATTGGGTTAATGAGACTGCACCGGACTCCTCTTTTGAGCTTAGAGGGACGCTTTACAAGCGTGAATATTATTTGGCTGATGGAATATATCCGGATTATTCCACGATTGTCAAATCTCTCTCCGAACCAATGGGTCTTAAATGCCAAACCTACAAAAAAGCTCAAGAGGTGGCGAGAAAAGATATTGAACGAGCCTTTGGGGTCTTGAAGGCTAAGTGGCACATTCTAGATCGTCCGTCGAAATGTTATTCTCAGACAAAAATGAGGAATATCATGTACGCATGTATTATTCTTCATAATATGATCATAGAGGATAACGGGTCTGCGATTTGTCAATACAACCCGGACGAGGAGGTGCCTATGTACGAAGAAA